GAGGGGGTGCACATAGTTTGCCGGTTGTGGAGTCAATGGGAGAAGTGGGGGGTCCGGGTGAGTGGCAGCGACCATGGGGATGGAGTACGTGGACCAGAGCAGGAAGCTCAGTATCCACTATAATACAGACCAGGGGCGGTGCCGGGGTGTCGGTGGTCTGACCCGACACCCCGGGGTTAGTTTGACCCCATGGTGTCGTTGGGGTCCGTCCCCATGGAGTCATCGGGTCCGGTTGGCTGGTTCAGTTGAACGGAATCATCTGGTGCTGGGGGAGAGGACGTCAGCGTAGGCTGGGTGGGGTACGCGGCTGGTGGTCCGGTCGCAGGGGTGCCTAGGGCGGCGAGGCCAGCAAGTTGGGAGGATACACTTTGCATGGCTTGCATTAGGGTGCGTAGACTGGATTCGATGATGGGGAGGCGTTCGGCCATTGCCGCTTGGTGGGTGCCCTGTTGTGTGATGGTGGTTTGCAGGCGATTTTGCGCCTCCGTCAATGTGCGCTGGTCCTGGGATTGTTGGTGTTCAGCAGCCTCACGGAGGCGGCGTTCTTCGAGTAGTCGCGCATCGAGGGTGGTGAAGGCTGCACTGGTGGCAGAGACTAAGGCTGTGAGTGCCTCCTTATCCGCGCGGAGGGTATCGACTTCCTGCTGGAGTGGGGCTGTGGCCTGGACGATACGGTGGTCCACATATGTGGAGAGTTCCCGACGGAGGTGTGGGACGAGGTCCGTGGTCGGGCCTGACGCGTGCAACGGTTGTTGAGAGGGGTATTGCCAGGATTGGGGTGTGTGGCTGACCGTGGTGGAATGTTGAGAGACCGAGCGGCCTGCTGGAGTGTGCACACTCTTACTGCGGGAACGTGCTCCCGGACTATTGGTGCCACGGGGAGTGGATTTATGTCGAGATGCGCTGCGTGTACGGTCGCGGGGGTCAAGGTATGTAAAGCGGGCGCAAGGTTTGCCCTGGTGATCCTGGCGGCCACAGTCGGAGCATTGCATTGCCACCGCTGTGGTACGTGGGCGGCCCATGAGTACGTGGAGCTGGACAGCTATATTACGGACGTAGAGGCGGGTGGTCCCATGTGGGCCTGAGACGTTCCATAGGAAGGCTGCCGGGGATGGGGAGTCAAAGGTGAGGGTTGCGTAGTCGTCGATAATGTCCACATCAGGGGAGGGGAGCCATGTAGTGCCGCCAGGATGTCCGCAGGCGTGGTAAATGTAGGGAGAGGGCCGATGCGAACTTTGGTGGCGACGAGTTTGGTTGCACTGAGGGATAAGGGGTGGAAGAACGTGGAGGAGGGGTTGTCCCAGCTGAGGTCACGCAGTGGGTGTAGCTTCATGGAGGGAGGAACCTGGTCCAGGCGGTTTGTTCCAGCAGCATGCAGGCGGTAGTTGGCATAGACAGTTTCGGCCATGGTTTGGCTGGGGAAGACAAGACGGAAGCGGTAGTTGCCCTCGGTGGGCCAGTTGACACACCCAATGGCCGCCCGATGGTCCCGCGGCCCGTGGGCGCCAGACATACGGGAGTAGCTCTGGATGATGGCATCCGTGGCCCCAAGGGCGCGGAGGGCACAGAGTATGTCAGCCGGAGCGAGTTTAGACCGGTTGCGGTATTCCAGCTGGTGGTAGGATAGCCCGTTGCTGAGGACTCCAGCATACTGGTATAGCATTACGACGGAGATATCCCGGAGGAATATGTATCCACGTCGTGGGGCTGCCCAGGCGAGGGCGGTGCGTTGAATGGGGGTTCCCAGGAGCTGCTGCCTGTGTTCACTGAGTCCGCCGTGGAAGGTGAGCCCGAAACGCTCCTCGCAGATTGCCTCGATTTCCTTCCGAAAATTGACGATGCTGAGTGGGTTGTCCGGCTGCTGAAGCGACGGGTTGATAGTAAACTGGATCCGAACCATGGTCTCGGAGAAGTGTTGTTCGATATCCGCAATCTCCACGGGAGTAAATCCTTGGAAGAGGTGTGCTTCGCGTTCCCAGTACATGGTCATTGTGCGGTATAGGATCGGTTGTCCTTCATCGTAGAGGTTGCGTAGCCCTGGAAACTGGAGGGCAGAGTTGGCATCATATTCGTCCAGGTCTTCCTCGTGTGAGGGTGGGTCAGTGTAGTCCTGCGGGGGCTGTGCAGGGTCAAGGGGACCTGGCTGGTAGGACGGGGTAGGCGGGTAGAGCATAGCGTGGTGGCGTTTGGATGGTGGTAGCGTGAAAGAGGGGTGGGCTAGGTCCAGGTCTGGATCAACTTCGGAGTGTGGGCGTTTGGTAGGTAGATGGATAACTGAGCCGGTGGGTGAGGTGGCCCGGTACGCGGCCTGTCCCATTGGTTCCATTGGCTGGTCGGGGGCCGGTCCTAGTCGGGTGGGTTGCTGTGCCGAATCGTGTACCGAGGGTGCCGTTTGGCCGTTGGGCTGTGTGTGTGGTAATGGCCGGTTGTCCGGGGATGGTGGTGGCCTAGAAAGGGGTGGGACAGAGCGCGGGTGCATGTTAGATGTGCCTGGTTGTGCAGTGTGCTCATGGTGGAGAAGGCTCAAAGACTGGGCCTGCGTGATTTCTGGCTGAACGATGCCAGGTGGTCTTGGTGATGGGTGGGGTGATGGGTGAGGAGTAGGGTCTGCTGGGAGTGGGACATTGGTACGATTGTGTGCCCCGGGGTGCCACGGAGCCGTGTTAAGACATGGAAGGGGTGTGGTGGCTCGAAAACCCGTGGGCCATAGGGTGGTGCGTGTGGGTGTTGTGGCAATTGTGGTGCGGTTGGTTGGTAGCAACATGGCAGGAGTCAAGGGAGGTGGAGAGGCAGTGGTAATGGATGGTGTGAGACAACTGGTCGGTAGAGGGGTGGCCTGGGTAGGAGGTGGATGTGGTGTAGTAGTGGGATGATGACAGGTTGGCTGGGTGGCGAGTACAGTATTGGTTGCCCTGGTATTGATTGGCTGTGGTGGTAGGGGATGGATGGTTTGGTGCGCTTGGTCCGTTGGTCCTGTGTTATCAGGGTTCTGTGTTCTTCGCCACGCCGTGGGGATCGAGCTTTGCGTGGAGGAGCTGCGGGTGGGCTTGGTGGAAGTAGGTGTGGTTAACGTGGCAGTGTATGGGGCCGGGTCTTGGGCGGGCTTAGAGGGCTGGTCCCGAGGTGGTGTAGTGGGCGGGGATGACTTGCGAGCGGGTCGGGGACGGATGGGTTTATCATCCTCAGAGAGGTATTGGGCTGGGGTGGACGTTTGGTGGGCGTGGGTGTTGTGCCGGGATGGGCGGGGTTGGTGCGTGAGAGGCCGCGTGGCAGCGTGATTGGCACGGATGCGATCCTGTCGGGCCAGGAATTTATCTGCAGCTATCTTGGAGCGTAGCTGGCTTATGGTTAGCGGTGTGGTGGCAGGGGGCTGGGTCGTGTCAGGGTCCGAGTCCGGTTCTGAAGAGGATGAAGGGAGCGGGGCGCGGATTATGCCAGTAGCTGGCACAAGGGTGGGCGTAGGTATACCGTTCCGGGTGACGAAGACTGTAACCATGGGGGTTGTCGTGGGCTCGAACGTAGTTGAGGTTGGTGGTGGTCGTCCTGGGGTCAGGCGGAGGGGGGACCATGGTCGTGTCTGTGGGCTGTGAAAGTTGTTTCTCGGGGCGCCGCGACCCACTTGCGGGTTACCAGGTATATTTGGGAATGCACAGTAACAACTGTAGTACGTAATTACATGTACATCTGATTTTGTAATAGTCACTAAACTTCATGAAAGTAGTACAGCACCTCTCCTTTCTTCAACCAGACCCTTATGCACGTGTAGTCGCCACGAGGCGACACCGAGAACACTCATTTCAGCTCCCATCTGACCACTCCGAGTGGATGACCGACACCCAAATGGCGGACTTTAACACTCCGCGACATCGGGTTCAGTGACATTGGTTCACCGATGGTGAGCGAATCCGCGTGCTCGAGTTGGGGGTGGGTCGCCAGTCCCAGAAAAGCACCCCCATGGACGTGCCCTTCAAGAAACAACTCAAAATAGCAGCTTCGGTGAGATTTTTGAATGAAAACTGTCCATGACCCAAAGCACTGTAACTAAGTTAATGGAAAAAATGATAGGGTAGTTATTATGTTACGTTAGGATTGCATCGTACAGTACTGTACTAGTATACCGAAGTCATTTGCAAAAATGATAGGGAAGTGTATTATTTTTATGTTAACGTTAGTACTAGTATTGCATTATAGAGCACTGTACTAGTATACCGAAGTCATTTGTCGACCGAGGTCACGAGAAACTCTGGGAGTGCCAAATAAGGCTCCTTAACGAGTTTGTCAATGAGTCGTTAACAGAGCAGTTCATGCTGGTTCCAAGACTAATTCAAGACCTCATCGGAAATATCGGATATCCATATGGTCTGTTTTAGGCGCTCGTCACCAAGTGGTTAGCCAATTAGAATTGAGAAATCGGTTTGACATGATCAAGCTTCTTATTTGACTTGAAAAAAAGTTGACTAATCTATTTATAAAGATTGCTTGGATTCACAGTTAATCTAAATATATCCGAATACAGAGTTAGTTGGTCGTACTGTATTTCCTAGGGGGTTGTATTTTTCCCCGGTTCGCCGTAACGTTTAACAGTAAAACCGTGAGAAACGACACCACATCAGGGAAACGTTGCTCGCACATTGTACTTGACCATTGCGAGGGAACTAGCAACTATCCACGACATTTCGAAATGTCCGTCGTAGATCTAGATTCCTATCCGTTGATTACCTGTACTCAACAGGGTACATATTGACACGAGTTCAAGGTGAACCACTCAATCAAGAGATACTTTCAAGCACAGGGTAGTAGGGGTAGGGGATTATTCGTAAGCATACGCAACGTTACAAAATCTCATCAGCTAAAAGAGTATCCGAATGTGATATTTCCCTCATTGAAACAGTATTTCGGATCAAAACAACAGGGGAACTGTTTTAATGAGGGAATTAATCTGCATTTAAGAGGTTTAGTATCGTGAACCAATAGTTCCCCCAACACCCGTGTCAACTTGGTATGTCTTGTCATTTCCGATTTCCTCACGTTCGTGCAATGAAGTTCATCCCCCTCTCTGTTGGGGGTGGGTCGCCAGTCCCAGAAAAGCACCCCCATGGACGTGCCCTTCAAGAAACAACTCAAAATAGCAGCTTCGGTGAGATTTTTGAATGAAAACTGTCCATGACCCAAAGCACTGTAACTAAGTTAATGGAAAAAATGATAGGGTAGTTATTATGTTACGTTAGGATTGCATCGTACAGTACTGTACTAGTATACCGAAGTCATTTGCAAAAATGATAGGGAAGTGTATTATTTTTATGTTAACGTTAGTACTAGTATTGCATTATAGAGCACTGTACTAGTATACCGAAGTCATTTGTCGACCGAGGTCACGAGAAACTCTGGGAGTGCCAAATAAGGCTCCTTAACGAGTTTGTCAATGAGTCGTTAACAGAGCAGTTCATGCTGGTTCCAAGACTAATTCAAGACCTCATCGGAAATATCGGATATCCATATGGTCTGTTTTAGGCGCTCGTCACCAAGTGGTTAGCCAATTAGAATTGAGAAATCGGTTTGACATGATCAAGCTTCTTATTTGACTTGAAAAAAAGTTGACTAATCTATTTATAAAGATTGCTTGGATTCACAGTTAATCTAAATATATCCGAATACAGAGTTAGTTGGTCGTACTGTATTTCCTAGGGGGTTGTATTTTTCCCCGGTTCGCCGTAACGTTTAACAGTAAAACCGTGAGAAACGACACCACATCAGGGAAACGTTGCTCGCACATTGTACTTGACCATTGCGAGGGAACTAGCAACTATCCACGACATTTCGAAATGTCCGTCGTAGATCTAGATTCCTATCCGTTGATTACCTGTACTCAACAGGGTACATATTGACACGAGTTCAAGGTGAACCACTCAATCAAGAGATACTTTCAAGCACAGGGTAGTAGGGGTAGGGGATTATTCGTAAGCATACGCAACGTTACAAAATCTCATCAGCTAAAAGAGTATCCGAATGTGATATTTCCCTCATTGAAACAGTATTTCGGATCAAAACAACAGGGGAACTGTTTTAATGAGGGAATTAATCTGCATTTAAGAGGTTTAGTATCGTGAACCAATAGTTCCCCCAACACCCGTGTCAACTTGGTATGTCTTGTCATTTCCGATTTCCTCACGTTCGTGCAATGAAGTTCATCCCCCTCTCTGTTGGGGGTGGGTCGCCAGTCCCAGAAAAGCACCCCCATGGACGTGCCCTTCAAGAAACAACTCAAAATAGCAGCTTCGGTGAGATTTTTGAATGAAAACTGTCCATGACCCAAAGCACTGTAACTAAGTTAATGGAAAAAATGATAGGGTAGTTATTATGTTACGTTAGGATTGCATCGTACAGTACTGTACTAGTATACCGAAGTCATTTGCAAAAATGATAGGGAAGTGTATTATTTTTATGTTAACGTTAGTACTAGTATTGCATTATAGAGCACTGTACTAGTATACCGAAGTCATTTGTCGACCGAGGTCACGAGAAACTCTGGGAGTGCCAAATAAGGCTCCTTAACGAGTTTGTCAATGAGTCGTTAACAGAGCAGTTCATGCTGGTTCCAAGACTAATTCAAGACCTCATCGGAAATATCGGATATCCATATGGTCTGTTTTAGGCGCTCGTCACCAAGTGGTTAGCCAATTAGAATTGAGAAATCGGTTTGACATGATCAAGCTTCTTATTTGACTTGAAAAAAAGTTGACTAATCTATTTATAAAGATTGCTTGGATTCACAGTTAATCTAAATATATCCGAATACAGAGTTAGTTGGTCGTACTGTATTTCCTAGGGGGTTGTATTTTTCCCCGGTTCGCCGTAACGTTTAACAGTAAAACCGTGAGAAACGACACCACATCAGGGAAACGTTGCTCGCACATTGTACTTGACCATTGCGAGGGAACTAGCAACTATCCACGACATTTCGAAATGTCCGTCGTAGATCTAGATTCCTATCCGTTGATTACCTGTACTCAACAGGGTACATATTGACACGAGTTCAAGGTGAACCACTCAATCAAGAGATACTTTCAAGCACAGGGTAGTAGGGGTAGGGGATTATTCGTAAGCATACGCAACGTTACAAAATCTCATCAGCTAAAAGAGTATCCGAATGTGATATTTCCCTCATTGAAACAGTATTTCGGATCAAAACAACAGGGGAACTGTTTTAATGAGGGAATTAATCTGCATTTAAGAGGTTTAGTATCGTGAACCAATAGTTCCCCCAACACCCGTGTCAACTTGGTATGTCTTGTCATTTCCGATTTCCTCACGTTCGTGCAATGAAGTTCATCCCCCTCTCTGC